AGCATGATAATAATATAGCCTTTTATTCAGACCCACATTACAATTATATGACTAAATATAATACATAGAAAACTTAAATTTTATTTAAACCTTCATATAGCCTATTATTGGATTTTTTCTTATTTTCTGCAGATCTGTTTGTCAATCGACACAAAAACAAAAAAAAAAAAACAAAAAATGCAGCGGCAGCATAAATGTATACTATATTAATGTTTTATAGCATTTACATAACACACCTCTCACTCTGATTACTCAATTACCCCCTGTTAACTCAAGATGAGCTTGTAGTTTTTCTGGTAAATGTATTTATTTATTTATTTTTTATTGCCCTTGTAGGCAGACGAGCACACGGCCTGTCCCTGATGGTGAGTGGTTACCGTCGCCCATGGACTTCAGTAATGCCAGGGGCAGAGCCAAGCCGCTGCCTACCGCTAAAGCTGCGTATTGTTAATTTTTATTATTTGAAAGTAGGACACTCTCAAAGTAATTTACAAACAAACACATACTACGATTCAAACGCAAATTGTTATTCTAAAAACATAACAATTGAATCGTTTGTCGTTCGTCGAACAACGAATCCAGGATTTCGACGAATCAAGTAAGAAGTCCTTACATTATCGTTTAAGTGTCGCTTTATCCGACGCCGAGTGCCAAAGTTTTGAGCGAATAATGCTTCCGATACATAAAGCCATCCAATAATATTTGTGCTCTACGGGTAAGCGAAAACATTCGGGGGCGCCCCCCGTCGGTCGTCCATAAAGGCCTCTCGCGCGATAAAAACTGATCCGAGAGTTTGTTCGGCGACAACAGGAAAACACATATTTGGCTGGCGGCCAAGTCACCTGGGTCGTCGCGCCACGCATGGCCCGCGTGCACCTCCGCACTCGCGATAAAGGGTTAACAAATTGCACCCGAGTTGGCGGCACACGTCGCCTTACGTACAACCAGTAAATAGTTCTATGTTTGCCGTGGAAGTTTCGACTTCTTTCGCGCTTGCCAAGTGACGTTCTCGTAATGGCTTCGCCCTAGGCGCCGCGCCGTCCGACTGCGCTTTGATTCTCGTCGTTTGAATCGCGTTCGTCATTCGTCGTTGTAGTTCGTGCAAGCTCTTGTCGTGCAAATTATTTCCCCCGTATCGGGTCGTCTCGGCCCGTCTGCTCCGAGGGTGTAAACACGGTACGCGAGTGCGTCCTAATTTATTTGAGGCGCCTTTTCGGAACGCGTTTCGACCTCCGTCCTTTATCCAGTTGAACAAAGGATAATACGAATAAAAGCCAGTCGAGCATAATCGCGGCGGCCGTCGGGAGCGCCGCGGAACGTAAAACAGTCACCGCAATTTTCTGCGCGCAGTTTTTCTACCTTTCGGTTCTCGGCTCGCTCCGGTGCTGATTCAATAAGGAGTTACGATCGTACTTAGCGCGAGTTACGTTTTCTCTCCGGCGTTTACAACATCAATAAAATAAATACGCGGTCGGGCAGTGGCCGTGTTGATTGTTTACATTCGATTACTCCGGAGTCGGTCGACCAGTATCAAAGCTTTGATGGCGAGGTCTTAAAACGACCGACTTGTTATTAGAATGTATAATCAATCGATACAGAACTAGAAACAGCTCGACTGTAAAAACACACTTTGATCTCTGAGCCATTTGCTGGAGACGCTTCATATATTTGAAAACATTTCAAGCGAATGAACGATGTATAAATGTTTAGTATATGACATTCTCGATAATGTGTGTTTCATTCTATCTTAAATTAATTGGTTGTTATTAACTGTGGGCCGTGTTTTACAATATTTTTTTCTGTATTTCTATCATTTTGAATTTACACGTAATGTTTGTGCGTGTTACCTCGTTTTTTTTATTTATTCTGATAGACGATATTTCTTGTAGAAACATCAATAAATGGTGTTTTTTTTTTAATTTGACCTTTATTGGCACCCTTGCTTTAAAACTTTATTTTTACTGACAAAATTTACGTACCTATAAAATTTGTCATTATATTCTGTCATACGTGCTGTCCAAAGTAAAATAAAACAGTGGTTAGTAACAGACTAATTAAATAAATAAACAAATTAAAAACATTTCCGAAATCTCAATTTAGAATTAAGAAATAATATAACTTTACGTAATACATACGTGTAAACCATGATACCCGATTTATTGTAATAATAACAAGCTTAACCCAATTTCACTAAGTTATTTATTTAAAAAAAACTTCAGAGGTGTCAAGGGACACCCGGATGGAACGAAGTTCCTTTCGATTAATTAGTGAAGGAATTGTAAATTTTTTTTTTAAGTTATAATAATAAATTACGGCATTATGAAGAAGAAAAAAACAATATTAAGAACTAAATTACTATTGTTGAAACGCTATCTCGAGAAACTGTACCCATTACGCGGACCAATCGGATACGAGCAATGTCACACGATAAGCGCCTACACGTTGATTGGTCAGAATGACGGATCTAAAAAGTGTCGTGACAACTTTTCGTAAGAATTTTTTCCGTCTAGCCCCCTTTCACAACGCGCGATAAGGAACTTCGTTCCAAAAGCACAACCACATCACAAACATCCGGCACGCACCATCCGGCTATGGAATGAGCGCCCCTCCACGGTGTTTCCCGAGCGCTATGACATATCCTTCTTTAAAAGAGGCTTGTGGAGAGTATTAAGCGGTAGGCAGCGGCTTGGCTCTGGCCCCTGGCATTGCTGAAGTCCATGGGCGACGGTAACCACTCACCATCAGGTGGGCCGTATGCTCGTCTGCCTATAAGGGCAAAAAAAAAATTAACATTGAAAATAACTTAAACTATTTAATTTATAATTAAGTGACATATATTGAGTGGCAATAATGGCGTACATAATTTAGATTGTAAATTACCGTATAGTTCATGATAATTTACGTATGCGGATATATGCCATACGCCATATAGCAAGATATTCAGAAATGTTCCGTCACCTACGATATACGTGAGAGATGAACCTCCTAACTGATTTAGGCGTGAAACGGAGTGGGCGGCTCCTCGTAATTCCTTCCTCATAAGCCTCCATCAGTTGTCATTAAGCGGACCTGACGCGGGCCCGCTTCATCTTACCGCTTCGTTTTGTTATTTAGATCTCGTTATACCTACATTGTTTTGTCTCTGAGAAGACAAGGAACGTTTGATTCATGCAGGCGGTCACGACACGAGATCACAACCCACCTGGTATTACTGGAGTTCGTAGATATACAACTCAAATGACGCTTCGAAATTAATCAAAAGCTTGTTGTATTAGAGATTGACCAACCGCCGCTGTCGAATTGCTTCGTAACACTGATACTACTAACCATTTTAACTATTATGAACTGTAAATAGATTTGTTATAACTACTTTTAAAAATTATACAAGAAAAGGCACGATTTCTGTAAAACGTATTTAAGTAGTTGATCTCAAGATGTGAGAAGATTAATAAACCTACTTAATGTTTTTTTTTATTACTTGTATGTCTGGACGAGCTCATCACTCACCTGGTTGTTAAGCGCTTATCGGAGCCCATAGACCTCAGCAACGTATGCTGCCACCCATCTTGAGACATACACCTTCGTCGTGGTCTAAAGGATAAGACGTACGGTGCATTCGTGTTGAGCGATGCACCGGTGTTCGAATCCCACAGGCGGGGACTAATTTTCCTAATGAAATACGTACTCAACAAATGTTCACGATTGACTTCCACGGTGAAGGATTAAATAAAAATCAAACCCACAAAATTATAATTTGCGTAATTACTGGTGGTAGGACCTCTTGTGAGTCAGCGCGGGTAGGTACCACCACCCTGCCTATTCCTGCCGTAAAGCAGTAATGCATTTCGGTTTGAAGGGTGGGGCAGCCGTTATAACTAAACTTGAGACCTTAGAACTTATATCTCAAGGTGGGTGGCGTATTTACGTTGTAGATGTCTATGGGCTCCATTCACCACTAAGCAATAAAGTTTTTATTACAACGGCTACCCACCAACCTTTAATGAAAATTGTCATGAAAGCCGATTTAAGGTCGTAAATTATTGTGATAACTAAAAATTTAACACTCCGACTACATTAATAAAGATATTCCAGTCTGTTTTCTTTATAATCTTTGTGATCTGCTCCCGTTTGGCTCGGGTTCACCTGCGGGAACCAAGATTGATACGAGCCGAGCTAACCGCCGCCTACTGACAGTTTCTTATTGAAAAATTGAACGATAATCCCGCTGCCTTATTTAAGACTTCCCTTTTTATTGCTCTTATTTTTCTTTTGCCTTTCGAATTTTCAGTTTTTGATTGAGATTGATTTCGATTTTTTTTTATTGCTTAGATGTGTGGACGAGCTCACAGCCCACCTGGTGTAAAGTGGTTACTGGAGCCCATAGACATCTACAACGTAAATGCGCCACATACCTTGAGATATAAGTTCTAAGGTCTCAGTATAGTTACAACGGCTGCCCCACCCTTAAAACTGAAACGCATTACTGCTTCACGGCAGAAATAGGCGGGGCGGTGGTACCTACCCGTGCGGACTCACAAGTGGTCCTACCACCAGTAAAAAAGTCAAATTTAATGCGAAGGTTTTGCGGTAGGCAGCGGCTTGGCCCTGCCCTTGGCATTGCTGAAGTCCATGGGCGACGGTAACCACTCACCATCAGGTGGGCCGTGTGCTTACAAGGGCAATAAAAAAAAACTTTTTATTGTATTTTTTATTGCTTAGATGTGTGGACGAGCTTACAGCCGACCTGGTGTTAAGTGGTTATTGGAGCCCATAGACTCCTACCTCCGAGACATAAGTTCTAAGGTCTCAGATTTTACAGTACAACGGCTGCCCCACCCTTCAAACCGAAACGCATTACTGCTTTACGGCAGAAATAGGCAGTGCGGTTGTACCTACCCGTGCGGACTCACAAGAGGTCCTACCATCAGTAACTACGCAAATTATAATTACTACTCTACTGTAGCAATAGCTTTATTAACTATTTCCCCCTTTGTTCTCAGGGTGCGCGTTTGTCAAGTTCAGCTCGCACCAGGAGGCGCAGGCAGCCATCACGAGTCTCCACGGCAGCCAGACCATGCCGGTGAGTACCTACTTAACACTAATCATACCAACAATTGCTGGTAGCTGTTTCTACCACAGCGGGTAGATAGCGGTGTACGACAAGTATTACTAAAAATAACCAAAATAAAGCCTAAAATAATACCTATTAAATGTATACTGTAGACTACTTAGCAATAAAAAAAAAAAATTAATTATCAGCCTCAATTTATTATATTATTAAAAAAAGAACATAATATTCCTAAACTTAACAATTAATCTACATACATAACTATAGATTAATTGGTAAGAAGAAGTCGTGAAGTCAAATGTGCAAAAGCAATACGATAATACGATACATTTTCAATGAAAAAGTCCAAAATGGGTCATTTGACCCGTTATGGTATGTTTAGTGCTAAAAATTATTAAACATTAGAGAGAGGTGACAATTTGGAAAAGCTGCTAGTAACAGGCAAGGTATGCGGAAGAAGTCCCAGAGGCGGAAGTCTAATGCGCTAATCAGACCAGATACGCTCCACTCTCAATACTTCAGTCACCCTCAGACACAGCCCAGTGAGTTTCTCGCTGGATCTTCTCAGTGGGTCGCGTTTCCGATCCGGTGGTAGATTCTGCGAAGCACGACTCTTGCTAGGGTTCGTGTTAGCAACGTCGTCAGGTTTGAGCCCCGTGAGCTCACCTACTAGTTAAGGCGACGCTGATATAGCCTCTCAAGGCAATCAACCTAAGTAGGAAGAAAAAAAAAAAAACTTCGGTCCACCTTGCTATCCACACAGCCGAGGATAGGCAGGAATGGCACAGGATAACACAGGAGAAAGTTGCTAGAGCAGACCACGACCCTCAGCACTGAGGATTATCGACGCAAGGAGGAGGACACATTATTCAACGCACTGCCTCTTTAGCAAAGACTGCAGAATGACAACTCCAAGACTACAAGTAACATTGGACATCGTTATTCGTATTACTGATTTACTTTTCATAGGAATTAAATTACAAAAAATAAGCCATATAAACGACTCGGTATGATTACTATACTAATAAACAGAATTTATTGGTGATAGGGCGTTTTGTAAATATACGAGTACTTTTGTTAATTTTTGCAGCGAGGCAGTAATGAATTCCAATTTAGACGTTAGACTGTCCACTATGGAATAAAATAAACCAAAGCAAAGGTTTTTTTTTATTATGAGGGATTTTTATTACTTTTTTTCACATGTCTCAATTCATAGAAGATTTATCTCCATTACAACTATCGCTAAGCAATACTTAAATACTTTGTAAAATCTTAGCTTCTTTTATATTTTAAAACGACTCCTATCGACTAGATACTGTAGTTTTTGTTCACAATATCAAGCAAATGGATGTATCGCGTTCCCTATCATAAAATAGAAGTAAATTAAGAAAAAACCTGAACCGTGGTAATGACATTATCAAATGTAGATACTAAGTGATAAAAGTTCCACTCATTCAACAATACCATTTGATCCACCTATCGACTTATAACATTCGCTCGGTGGAAGATGTTACCTACGTATTATTAAAAGTGACAACATGAAAGAATCAAAACAATAAACGTGTAGCCAACATTACACAAAACAAAGAGAATGTACTTACGCCGATGTTACTTTGGGAGGTTCTTTATTTTATTTCCTTATAAACCAAACGGAGAACAGATTCCGAATCGTGATCCCTAAAACGGAAGGGTTACAGAAAAGATAACAAGGGACAAAGAATAGAGTTGGACGAGAGATAATCTCGGAACGAGAAAATTGGATCATTTTTTAACTTGACTCAATGGATTGGTTTGTATTAGAAACTTTTCGAGGGCTATCGAAGCGTGTGTTTTTATAAATTCATAATTAAATTGTTTCATCAATACATCTATACATATAAATAAAATTGGAATGTCTATTCGTAATATTGATATAACCGCTTTTTACTATATCCATATGAATATTATTACGGTACATACACCAAAATAACGCGGTACGAAAATAACCGCGGGTAACATCGCGGAATTCAGCTAGTCAATAATAAAATTTAATGTTTCTGAAGCAAAGCGTAGGCGGGTCGCTAGTTTTATATAAATATGATCATACAGCCCGCCCAATATTGAGTCAATACTACTCATATACGTCAGCAATGTCAGAGGCACAGCCAAGCCGCTGCCTACCTGATTAAAAGCTCTGTTATTATTGTTTTAAATTTCACAACATCCAACTTTTCGTACAGGCGCTTTATAGTTTCTGTCTACGGAAAAAGCATCATGGATCTCGAACTAAAGACTGGAGTACAGACAAAAAATCTAAAAATCTATTCGAGGTAATATTTGTAACCGTGAAACGATAAGGTTTGTCACCTTGGATCTATGGATAAGAGTACTGTCATCCTTGTCAACCATATGAACTATGGATTTTCTGATCAACCTTTTATCATCCCCGGGGACTACTATAGCATGGGTTTCTATGTATAATATTTGCAACCTACTGTTCCTCTTTGAAAGCTGTCTTCAACAGCACTTTTTAAACTGTTTAAGCGACTGACTCGGTGGTGCAGTAATTAGCGCCCCTTATTGTTGCGCAGAGGATCGCGGGTTCGAATCCCACATCGGGCAAACATTCGATTGATAAATGTGGTTATCTTTGTCTTTGTCTGAGTTTTCTCTTTGTCTGTGTGTTTATTTTCTATGTATGTGTCTATTTAAACGTATACCTATATAACTATTTATGTCAGTCTCCGATATCCACAACACGGAGAATACTAATCTGGGGCCGGATGACCATGCGTGTTCTGTTTCCAATTATAGTTTTATTATAGTTACTAGCGACCCGCCCTCGCTTCGCTTCGGAAACATTAAATTTTATTATTGATAGCTGAGTCCCGCGATGTTACCCGCGGTACCGCGGGAGGCGCCGCGGGGTGAAGCTAGTCAAAAAAATAAAAATAAAATATTTTGATATATGTACTGCGGTATACATACTTACACACATTTAGTAAAAAGTGGTTATTTTATTATTACGAACAGACACTCCAATTTTATTTATTTGTATAGATTACATTATATGTCCGTCTCCAAACAAGGTTCGGGAGGTATTTATCGGTAGACTGCAGCTAGTTTTACCCCTTACACTACTAGTTTCCTTGAGCAACTGTTTCCACTCATCATCAAGAGAGCTGTGAACTCGTCTAACTACGTCGATGGTCGTCTAACTACGTCAACTTTCAATCGCAACAAAACATGAATACTTCAATAAAAAAGTGGTCAATTTGGACTGATAAATACCGAAGAAACATACCTTAAATTTGTAGACCGTCCCACAGTATTGGCTAAATGCATCTGCTATTTAATACATATAATTTTCCTGCCCTTCTGCCAGTCACCTGGCGTCGACGCAACATGTTTTCTCCTTCCATACTCCTTTCAAATATACCATTTATTCGCTCACTCCCCTCTTACACATATCGTCTTTCACGCAATCCATCCATTCCTTTTTAGGTCTACCTCTTCCTCTATTTCTCTCTACATTCATAGTTAGCACTCTCTTACCAAACCTTATTTTAATTTCGTCTCATCACATGTCCATACCATATATACCGCCCATGCTATCTTTTTTTTTATTGCTTACATGAGTGGACGAGCTCACATGTGGTGTTAAGTGTTTACCGGAGCCTATAGACATCTACAACGTAAATGCGCCACCCACTCTGAGATATAAGTTCTAAGATCTCAGTATAGTTACAACGGCGGCCCCACCCTTCAAACCGAAACACATTACTGCTTCACAGCAGAAGTAGGCAGTGCCTACCCGTGCAGACTCACAACTGGTCCCACCGCCAGTAAAATCTAATACATAACGAACCTTAAAACCTTTCTTCGTTCTGCTTACGTTTGAGAAACTTGAAGGGCTATAAGGCACACAATGGCGCGGCACTGGACACCCTCGACCCCGTCTGGTCGACTCATAGGACATTTTGATGATAATGCATACAGCATTTCACAAAATTTTACAAAGAAAAATTTCTTGGCTACATTTTAAATATGGATTCGGATATTCTCGGAGCGTATTTCTTCAACCTTTTTTGCATAACTACGTCCATATTTTCCGACTCGAGTTCTAATAAAATCGTTCATCCTCTAGCGATCCCTAGCCCTAATGACTTTCTTCGATGTCTCTTTGAATTTTATTAAATATGACTTTGCCAATAGCAGAATGAAAAACGTAACTGCTTAAGGAAAATTAAAAAAAAAGTTCATTAGCCTTTATATCACTGATGGATTTAAATTTTCTAACGAGTTCACGGTCAATCTGATGATAAACAGTTATTATACCCCATGAAGACCTGAGGTCAAAATCCCTGTAACATTCAAATAAAGGTGAGGTTACACTCAAACCGGAACGCAATGAATTCAGTGTCCGAAAGGATGTTCAATTTCTGAACGTCAAAATGTCAGCGAGCGACGTCCGCCATGACATTATTTCTCTTTCACATCCAGCCGCCAAGAGCGACGCATCGGTATTTTATCTCTTTTATATTAAGTATTTAATTTCTCATATAAAGGTAATATAAATATCTCAAAACAATAAATACAATCCGCGCTCAATTATCACAACGCAACAAGGATGAAACGCTAAAGACTATCGTACCTTCCAATTCAAGTGACAGTCACAATACAATAAATAAATATATTATTATAAATCTAAAGAAGTAAAACATAAGATCACACACACGTCGGCTCCGCCAGATATTTTACAACCTCGCTCAATCCCCGTAATCTTAAACGAAACAAAAAAAAATGTTGGTAAAACTATGGCTCAAAATCACAATAACATTACAACTTAATTGCTAATTACAAGAAAAAATATGGCTTGCGTGGAATATATAAAAACAAGACGGTTACATTAAGTACAACTATACATGAATGAAATATTTATATATATTACTAATTAGTTGAATGAGCTTACGACCCACCTGTTTCTAAGTGGTTACTGGAGCCTGTGACGTGAAAACCTTCACTCTCCTTGA